TGACATTGCATTTAAAGTTTTGAAGATTAAACTTTGGCTGGAAAGCATGAAGCCGGAAGGGAGTTCCACAAGCACGGCAATAAAGCCACTAAGACCCAAGAGTGTTACTGGATGTGGAAGAATTAGGAACAGAAATATTAATAATGAGCGGGAAGATGAAAGAGTAATCAGGAGGACAGTAGATAGCGACTGATATTGCATTTAATTTTTTTTGCAGATTAAAGTTGGCTAGAAAGCATGGAGCCGGAAAGAAGTTTCACAAGCAAGAAGTGCGAGTAAAGAAACTGCATAGAACTTATCTAGCCAGCTCAACTGAAAATTGATGAGATTTCAACGGCAGTGTTGTTTTGCGTTTAAATTCATGAAGTCTAGGTACCATAGCGAAGAGATCATTTGAACAATTACCAAAAGTATTTATAGGAAAAGAGGCAACCTTACGGCAGTGGGAAAGCAAGTGAAGCTGAGATGCTAGGTCAGGACCGATAATATATTTGATGCTTCTTTAGTATTTATTAAGAAGCTCAAGGTAAATAACAGGGGCACGGGGCCATATACAGTATTTCTGTTTCTTCAAGTCTTTTCTTCGTCTTTGAGGAAATTGCCCAGCTTTCACTGCCATACTTACAGTAGGGCAGATATCACGTAATAATTCAGTACCATTTTCTTTGTTTCTGGCGAAGTTTTTCCGTCACTTCTATTATCTTTTATTTAATCCTTTCGCCTCAAGCAAGGCGATAAAGCCACTAAAACGCAGCGCGGGTACAAGGAATTAAAAAGAATGACAATAATTTAGCGGAGAGGATATAGGAAAGAGCTAAGAAGAAACAGGGTTCAATAAAGCAGGAGATGCCGATTGAGGTTGCATTTACATTTTTGGGGATTGTAGTCATCAGGGGACCAAGAAATCAGAAGGGATATCCACAAGCGAGAAGTGCAAGTAAAGAAATTATTAGAATAGAACATACGGTTGAATCTAGCTAGTTCAACAGTTAAACGGTGGGAACTAATTGCCAATCTAGTAGCACGCTTAAATTCATGCAGTCGGGGCACTAAGGAGAACAGCTCATCACAACAATTGCCATGAAAATATTTGTAGAAAAGGCAGAGAGAAGCCACGTTACGTCGTCTGTAATATATCTTTGCAGGTATTATTTAAGCAGTGTTTTTTACGTCTAACTTCTTTCCTATTTTAATCTAAGCCTAACATTGAGGCATTAATTATTATGAACAAGTTTTGTTGTCTAGTTTTTTGAATTCTCATATACTTGTATTTTGATTGGTCATTGCATTTTATGTAACAGCTTTCCCCTATCGAGGAGTGTTTGGTTGATTTTGAACCTTTATTCTACATTCAACACTATCACTTGATAAGACACCGAAGTGTGGAAACAAATGGCTACTTGTAGTCATTTTATAACATATTTATATTATAATTTTGAATAAATTTATAAATTTATATATATATATATATATATATATATATATATATATATATATATATATATATATATATATATACATGAATTATTCATACAAAACTAATGCAAAGGTTAATGATTTAAATGGCAAGACATCCATCTTGCAAACAATTGTAGGAACAGACGAAAGCTTGTAGTAAAAATAACAACTAATACGGCAGAAATTTATATAAACAAGGATCAACTCATGCATAACTTTTAGAGGTTTTGACTATTTGAATCGTTTGCAAGATGGATGTCTTGCCATTTAAATCATTAACCTTTGCATTAGTTTTGTATGAATAATTCATGTATTTGTAAATTGATTGCACGTTTATTGTAATATAAATTTATATATATATAAATTTATATATATATAAATTTATAAATTTATTTTATAATATAAATATGTTATAAAATGACTACCAGTGATTTTGTTATATATATGTGTGTGTGTGTGTGTGTGTGTGTGTGTATATATATATATATATATATATATATATATATATATATATAAAAGTGAACATTGAAGTCAACATTTTGACAGTCTGTTTCATGCTAGACGCAATCGTCAGGTCATGCTGATTTTTTTCTCTGCTATTTACGGTCAGTGATGCATTGTGGTTAGTCTATTTTGGCGATTATTTTGTTTATCTGTTTATTTATTTTTAAATTATTTTTTTTTTATTTTTTTTTTTATTTTATTTTTATCTTATATATTTCTTTATTTTAATTTTAATCGGTGTTTTATTAACGTAGTAAAAATTGTTTATATGGCTTATTTGCTTGGAAATATAAGATAATATATATATATATATATATATATATATATATATATATATATATATAGTAGATGCAACACTATTATTTTCATTTATCGGAGAACGCATATTTTTTACGAGATTTCTCGAATATTCAGGCCGGTAAATGTAATTTATGCAGTTTCATTTAAAAAATTAAAACCAGAGCATTTACTCAAATAATTTGTATCCATAAAAAAGAACGTATAAATTATATTAAAATATTTGTCAGATTTAATCTATTGTATATATATATATATATATATATATATATATATATATATATATATATATATATATATATATATTCATACAAAAACAAATACACTGAGAGTAAAACAAGAACAACATCTATTCCATACCTGAAGATGTCTGTAGGAACAGACGAAAGCCTGTAGTAAAAATAAGAACTAATGCAACAGAAATTTATAAAAACAAGGATCTTTTCATTCATAAACAGTTTCGGGGTTTTTGTATATTATTTGAATTGTTCGCGACGATGGATTTCTCGCCAATTAAATCATTAACCTTTGTATTTGTCTTTTGTATGAATAATTCATGAATTTGTAAATTAATTGCACGTTTATTGAAATATATATATATATATATATAATACTAAAAGTGTTTCTTGTGTGGTGCGGTATAATGATTTAAGTTAATAAGATTTAAAAATACGAGTTGGTTATACAGTAAGTATTTTTATTTTAATTAAAATATTTTAAAGTTAAAGACAGACACAAAGAGATCCCGCTTTGCTGTTTCTTCCAGTTGTTTGTAGAGTAATCATTTGTTTTTCGGCTTTCTTAAAGCAAAAAAATATTTTAAATATCTAAAAAATATTTTTAGGTAAATCTCATTTTAGAAAATATTTTAAGTGAATGCTTCTTGGTTATACAGTATTTTTATTTTAACTTTCTTCAAACAGGCATTTTTTTTTTTATTAAAATATTTTTAGTTAAAGATAAGCCGAAAGAGATCCCGCTTTCATGTTTCGTCCAGTTGCTTGGAGAGTAATTATTTATATTTCAGCTTTCTTTAAACACACATTATTTTAAATATTTAAAAATAATATTAGCAAATTTAAAAAATTAAAATTAAAAGTTTATCAAGGAAGTTCTATTCTTATTAAATGTTTTAAACAATCAGTAAAACGTTAAACACGAACATGTAAATCAGACCAATGATGACACAACGAATTGAAGTATTTAAGTGAATCATAATAAAATTTAATTTCATTTCAATGGAATGTCGAAAATCAACTTCAATGTTGAACCGTTAGTGACCCAACGGGTCACGAGTAGTCTAATCTAGTCTAGCCTAGTCTTGCATATATATATATATATATATATATATATATATATATATATATATATATATATATATACTAATTGTCACATATCCTGATAAAGGTGCCATGTTAAATGACAGAACTGAGGTTATATCAGGGTGCAGGCATTTAAGTAAATACTTTTAGGCACCTATGAACTATAATTGTCTTTCCCACTTATTATCAATTATAATTTTTTACCCCCTCACCTCTCACCTCCTCCCATCCTAATACATTTACCCTCCCACTTCCGGTGTTCTGGTATACTGAAGCAGTCTTCTTTGGCTATTGCACCTCACGGTCGAAACCCGGGTTGCGAGATTGGTTGGCATTTTAGCCTTTTCCTAAAAATCTTACGCACACACACACACACACACACACACACACACACACACACACACACACACATATGTATTTATATATATATAAATCGGCAGTATAATGTCGACTATGTGGGTCGGTTTTGTGACGTCACATTCATGACTCTGCAAAAGACCCTTGTGTGTCACAGCATAGGTAGGCATGAGCGAGTCTGGTTTGCCTGCCATTTGCTGTTTGCAGCTCAAAGTTGAAGAGATGGAGTTTTTCTGGAAAGAAGCGGCAGTCAGTCATCATATATATATATATATATATATATATATATATATATATATATATATATATATATGCATTATATGTAGTAGAAAGTGCTCAATATCTGTGATAGAGCTAACATATTCAGTTGCATAGCTATTAGTTTGCAACTCCGCGTTTCACCCTTATGCGATTATCAGACAAACTGTTTTTTCTGATGATCGCAAAAACGTGAATCAGGGTTATAAACTAATATCTATGCAACTGAGTATATATATATATATATATATATATATATATATATATATATATATATAGTACACTCTCCTATCGCAAACGATAAATGAGGATCAGCAGTAGATAGTGCCTTTCGTTTTGCACATATGCATGCTAGTAGGGACTATTGTGGAGAAAACCAGGTAAGGAAAAGACATATTTGTGCTTTATTAAGTATGGTACTAGCCCAGACATGCTGGGGGGGATAAAATTACACTGACAGATGAAATTTGTTAAAGCAGGATTTTGATGGCGTCTCTGCTTCATAGCTTGATGAAGCTGGTCGTGTTGCTTCAAAGCCCTTAACTTTGCCTTCAATACCCTTTAACTTAATGAAACATGTCTTACTCCCTTCCTTTCGGTTTGCTGCTTGGACTTCCCAGGTTTTCAGATCAAAGTTCAGACGTTTGAAGTTCAATTTGTCTTTATATATATATATATATATATATATATATATATATATATATATATATATATATATGCGAATACGAAAGGTAATATACAAATGTGTAAATATATATGTATATATTACATTTCACATGTCATTTTATATCGATCAATTCTTTCATGTTGAAGATTCACAGGTAGGTGTGCCGCTTTGTCAGGGAGAGAAAGAACATAGTGACAGAGTGCTTAGAGCCCTGGTTTTGGGAGATTTTTCAGAGTATGTTTGATCCTTGTTGACAGTTTGAGAAGTCAGGCATTGTGAGGAATTTGAACAAAATTTGGTGACGTGATGGTCAATTTGCATTTCTGTTAGTTTGTTCCTCACAACGTATTCCCTTGAGGTTATATATTTTCGCCTTATCTATCTATCTATCTATCTATCTATCTATCTATCTATCTATCTATCTATCTATCTCAGAGTGTTCATATCTATTTATCTATCTATGTCAGTATTCTATCTATCTATCTATCTATCTATCTTAGCCTGTTCATATCTATCTCAGACTTTTCATATCTATCTATCTTACTCAGTTCATATCTCTCTCTCTCTTTCTCTCTCTCTCTATCTATCTATTTGTCTATCTTCGCCTGTTCATATCTATCTCAGTCTGTTCGTATCTATCTATCTATCTATCTATCTATCTATCTATCTATCTCAGTTTATTAATATCTATCTTAGCCTGTTCATATCTATCTCAACCTTTTCATATCTATCTGTCTATCTTAGTCGGTTCATATCTCTCTCTCTCACTCTCTCTATCCCTCTATCTATTTATCTATCTCAGTCTGTTCATATCTATCTATCTATCTATCTATCTATCTATCTATCTATCTATCTATCTATTCTATCTATCTATCTATCTATCTATCTATCTATCTATCTATCTATCGCAGTCTGTTCATTATCTATCTATCTATCTATCTATCTATCTATCTATCTATCTATCTATCTATGACAGTCACAACCAGGGTTGTTTATGTTGATGCGGCTGCTCATGCGCACGAACGGTTAACGCTGGGAATTTTAAATATAGAATATTTTTTTTAATGTCGTCTATAATCTTGCCGATTTCATTTACGTCCTTTTTCTTTTTGTTTCCATCATCCTTGTTATAAAATATCCCATATTCCGATTGGCAGATGTTCTATTATACACAAAGCCAATACCTTAAACTAAACAAAGAAGACATTTTCTATGTGTTTTCGCTCTATATTCATTTACGTTATTTTCTCTTTTTGTTTCTATCAAGAATGGTGAAACGTTTAAGAACCTGGACGCCAATCTACTGTAAATGAATGACTGATTAAAACATTTTCTAAATATTTTCCTCTTAGTGAATTATTTTCTATTTTAATTAGAGGAGCATTTTTTATGTCAACTTTGTGGTCAGTCTCGTTATGGTGAGCAACTAATGCGTTTATTGTGTCGTTTTTTAATGTCTCTTTTGTGTTTATATTATTTTTAATTTAAACTTCTTGAGGTTTCGCCAATATATTCTTTGTGGCAATCCTTGCAGGTGATAGAGATTAAATTCCTCCCTCGAGTTTTGGTCCATTGTAATGTTTTGTATTCATTAAACATTTTATTGTTTTAGATGCGGTTGTGACAAATTTTATTTTTCGATTGTAGTTGTGATAGATTTAGTGGGTAGACTATCTATCTATCTATCTATCTATCTATCTATCTATCTATCTCAGTCTGTATCTATCTATCTATCTATCTATCTATCTATCTATCTATCTATCTATCTATGTCTGTACACATCTATCTATCGATCTATTTTAGTCTGTAGGTATCTCCTATCTATCTATCTATCTATCTATCTATCTATCTATCTATCTCAGTCTGTACACATCTATCCATCTATCGATCTATTTCATTCTGTAGGTATCTATCTATCTATCTATCTATCTATCTATCTATCTATCTATCTATCTATCTATCGCAGTCTGTACACATCTATCTATCCATCTATCGATCTATTTCAGTCTGTAGGTATCTATCTATCTATCTATCTATCTATCTATATATATATATATATATATATATATATATATATCCGATGTGATGAGAACGAAAGTAATATATAAATTCCAACGTTCAGAGCCTTAATCCAAAAGAGGGCTCGATACCGATAGTAGAGCAATAATTATTTATTATAATTTTATCATATAGACAAAATCAATTTACTCACTACAAAGATGCAACTTCGTTTCGGTGCACTTCAATTGCACCTCGACAAACACCTTTTGCTTTACGTATATATGTTTTTTTCTTTTTTCTCAAACAAATGCAAAAAGGAAATGACGTTTCACATACGGCTTGCTTACAAGCAGAATTTTTCATAACTACTTTTGGTTGTCACCAATCGATGTGCAATTGAAATGCACGGAAACGAAGATGCCTCTTTGTCGTGGATAAAATGTTTTGTCTATATAGGAAAAATTATATATATATATATATATATATATATATATATATATATATATATATTTAAGACATTTTTATGTTTATACATTCTTTTATAGATACAAATATTTAAGTAAATTTCATAGAAAATATTCCGTATAGGATACAGGTTCGAATCCTGTCGGAGGACAAATATTTTCTATGAAAATTTCTCGCCGGTAAATTCAGGCCGGTAAATGTTATTTAATACTGTTTGTTATAAAACAGAGCATTTACTTAAATATTTGTATGTATAAAAAGAATGTATACACATAAAAATGTTTTAAAATCATTGTCGGACTTTGTCCATTTCATAATGTGTGACGTCATATAGATAGATAGATAGATAGATAGATCACATGTTTTTGCTTATGGCCATATCACGTTTTAACACCAGTTCTCCTTCGATCACCGAAGTTAAGTAACGTCGAACTTACTCAGTACCTAGATGGGTGACCGCCCGGGAATACCAGGTGCTGTAAGTTTAAATGTGTGGTTACTATAATGGATAACGGCTCGTAACGAGAAATTAGAAACCCGAGTTCGAATTTCAGTCGAGTTCGTTATATTAACTTACCCTTTTGAAATTTAATGAATTCACATCTTCTCCTCCCGCTATGGGTTAAATAGTAGGACGTGTACCAGCAAATCATAATTTTCTCCAAAGATTTCGTACAATCCCAAAATATGTTTTGTCTTCAGATAACCTTAAAAAGGTTGATAAAACGTAAAAAACAAATATCAAAGAAATCATTTTAATTAGAAAGAAAGAAAGAAAGAAAGAAAGGAAGAAAGAAAGAAAGAAAGAAAAAAAGAAAGAAAGAAAGAAAGAAGAGTGAATGAGAAAGAAAGAAAGAACTTAACGAAACAAAAGATTCAATTTAATTAGAAAGAAAGAAAGAAAGAAAGGAAGAACTCAAGGTAATTACAAAAAAGAATGAAAGAGTGAATGTGAAAGAAAGAATGAAAAAAGAAACAGAGTGAATAAGAAAGAAAGAAAGAAAGAAAGAAAGAAAGAAAGAAAAGCGAATGAAGAATGAAAGACGTCAAGGTAACTAGAAAGAAAAAACAAAACATAACGAAATAAAGAAAAGGCTAATTAAAAAAAAGAAAGAAAGAAAAAAGAAAGAAAGAAAGAAAAGAAAAAATGAAGAATGAAAGACGTCAAGGTAACTAAAAGAAAAAAAACATAACGAAAAAAGTAAAGAAAATTAAAAAGAAAGAAAGAAAGAAAGAAAGAAAAAGAAAGGAATGAAGAATGAAAGACGTCAAGGTAACTAGAAAGAAACAAAAACATAACGAAATAAAAAGTAAAAAGGGAATCTAATTAAAAAGAAAGAAAAAAGAAAGAAAAAAGAAAGAAAAAAAGGAATGAAGAATGAAAGACGTCAAGGTAACTAGAAAAGAAACAAAAACATAACGAAAAAGTAAAAGGAATCTAATTAAAAAACGAAAGAAAGAAAAAAGAAAGAAAGAAAAAAAGCGAATGAAGAATGAAAGACGTCAAGGTAACTAGAAAGAAACAAAAACATAACGAAATAAAGTAAAAGGGAATCTAATTAAAAAGAAAGAAAGAAAGAAAGAAAGAAAGAAAGAAAGAAAGAAAGAAAGAAAGAAAAGCGAATGAAGAATGAAAGACGTCAAGGTAACTAGGAAACAAAAAAACGAAATAAAAAAAGGAATCTAATTAAAAAGAAAGAAAGAAAGAAAGAAAGAAAAAAAGGAAAGAAAGAAAGAAAAAGCGAATGAAGAATGAAAGACGTCAAGGTAACTAGAAAGAAAGAAAACATAACGAAATAAAGTAAAAGAAAATTAAAAAAAAGAAAAGAAAGAAAAGAAAGAAAGAAAAAAGAAAGAAAGAAAGAAAAAAGAAAAAAGAAAAGCGAATGAAAATGAAAGACGTCAAGGTAACTAGAAAAGAAACAAAACATAACGAAATAAAGTAAAAGGAATCTAATTAAAAAGAAAGAAAGAAAGAAAGAAAGAAAGAAAAGCGAATGAAGAATGAAAGACGTCAAGGTAACTAGAAAGAAACAAAAACATAACGAAATAAAGTAAAAGGGAATCTAATTAAAAAGAAAGAAAGAAAGAAAGAAAGAAAGAAAGAAAAAGCGAATGAAGAATGAAAGACGTCAAGGTAACTAGAAAGAAACAAAAACATAACGAAATAAAGTAAAAGGGAATCTAATTAGAAAGAAAGAAAGAAAGAAAGAAAAGAAAAGAAAGAAAGAAAGAAAAGAAAAGAAAAGAAAGAAAGAAAAGAAAGAAAGAAAGAAAGAAAAAAGAGAAGAACGTAAATGCTTAGAGATGGTATGACAATTAGAAAGAAAAAAACAAAGAAAGAAAGAAAGAGGTCAAGGTAATTAGAAAGAACTTAAGGAAACAAAAGAAAAATGAATTTAGTTAGAAAGAAAGAAAAAAAGAAAGAAAGAAAGAAAGAAAGGAAGGAAGAACTCAAGGTAATGAGAAAGAAGAAAGAAAGAAAGAACTTAATGAAACAAAAGAAAAAAATCAATTTAATTAGAAAGAAAGAGAGAAAGAAAGACAGTGAATAAGAAAAAAAATTTCTTCATATCTGAATTCTTTTCATACACTTCTCACCTGTCTTTATCTACAAAACTATTTACGCCATTTTTCACGCACACAATACACACACACACACACACACACACACACACACACACACACACACACACACACACACACAAGGACGTAAGAATAGACAGACACACGCACACACGTAAAGAATAAAGAAGAAGAATTAAGAAAGAGGTTTGTGAAATTAAGGGATATAATAAAAACGCAATAGTAATTTATTTTTATTGAATTACATGATTGCCACCCCGGAATTCTTTTCGTGGCCTAGTTGCCCGTTCGTCGGTCATTCGGTCCCATCTATAACCTATGACTCTCTGATGTTTCTTGTGGCTAGCCATTTAAATGGACAATCCATTAGCATAATATACGGGTCACTCCTCATTTCAAATCCTTTTGATTATTAAACCACAGCAGACAAAATTTTTGTCGCTTTTCTTTCTTTCTTTCTTTCTTTCTTTCTTTCTTTCTTTCTTTTATTTTCTTTTTTTCTTTGTTTCTTTCTTTCTAATTAGATTGCCTTTTACTTTATTTCGTTGTTTTTGTTTCTTTCTAGTTACCTTGACGTCTTTCATTCTTCATTCGCTTTTCTTTCTTTTTTTCTTTCTTTCTTTCGAGCTATCCTTTTATCTTTCTTTCTTTTTCTTTTCTTTCTTTCTTTCTTTCTTTCTTTCTTTCCACCTCCCGTCTTTCTTTCTTTCTTTCTTTCTTTCTTTCTTTCTGTTTATATTTCATTGACATTTTTCTTTCTTTCCTTAAGTTCTTTGTTTGTGCTTTTTTCTTTCTCTCTTTCTAATTACCTTGACCTCTTTCTTTCTTTCTTTCTTTCTTTATTTCTTTCTGATTGCCATAATATCTCTAAGCATTTTCGTTCTTCTTTTTCTTTCTTTCTTCCTTTCTTTCTTTCTTTCTTTCTTTCTTTCTTTCTTTCTTTCTTTCTTCAGTTCATAGTCCATTGACATAGTTCTTTTTTCTTTGTTTCTTTTTTTATCTATTTCTAATTACATTGACCTTCTTCTTTCTTTATATTCTTTCTTTCTTTCTTTCTTTCTTTCTTTCTTTCTTTCTTTCTTTCTTTCTCAATTTGTTTTTCTTAAATAATTTATATTTCCCCCTGAAAACATTTTTTCTCCTGCCCATTTATTTCCAGGTGAAGATGGAGTCTTCCCCAGTTCTTCCCACCCACCTTGCAGATTTCACTTTCCAATTCTTCTCTGCGAATAGGAAATTCCATATTTATTTCATACTTTCGACAGATGAATTTTTAAAAATATTTTTTTTCTCTCAGTTATTCCTTCATATTTTATTCAAAGTTTATTCGTCCGCTTTTTCATTTTATTCATCCAACCCAAGCGAAGTTTCTTTCCAAGCCCTATTTCTATTCCTCTCATATCCCCACGCATGCTTACCCATGATCAAACCGGAAGAAGACGCTGATATAACGGCCAACCCCTCCATGAGTCAGTTATTTTGAGAAATCGCTCGTCATACGGTGTTGTTTCTATGAGATTTGCATACCTCGACGCTTTGTCGCTTGAAATAGGAAGTGCAATATACCCCCTACCAGAGACTTACACATTTGATATTTGAATAAAGAAAAGGGGAGGAGAAGATCAAGAGAAGTTTGATAATTTTAGCAAAACAATAGAGATAAAAAAAAATTATAGACACAAGGTATGTCTAAAAATGTATATCTCCCCTCGTAAAAACACACACATACACACAGGCAATCAAACACCCCCAAGAAAGGCAATAAACTCACTAAGACGCAAGGAGGTTAATGAGTGTGAGGGTATATGAGAAAAACAAAACATTATTAAAAAGCGAGAACAATAAAAGAAGAGGAATCAAGAAGAATGTAGATAGCGTCTGACATTGTATTTAAATTTTTGAAGATCAAAGTTTACTAAAAGGCAAGTATCAGAAAGAGAGTTCCACAAGCAAGAAGAGCGAGAGAAGAAACTGTTAACATAGGACTTACGGTTACATCAAGCCATTTTAACCGTAAAAGGAAGAGAACTTTCCGTCAATCTCGTCCCGGTACCAAAGTGGAAAGTTCACCAAAGCAAACACTTACCATGAGAATATTTATGGAAAACACATAGGGGATGGGTGGACGTTACGGCGTTGCGAAAGAGACTGAAGCCGAGACGTCAGGTCAGGACCAATAACATTGCAGAGTCTTTCGATTTTATCAAGAATCTCTAAATATATAGCAGGAGCACCACACCAGATTTGGCAGCAATATTCATTGTATGGACGAGCGGTAGACTTATAAATATGTAAGATAGATTCTGCTACTTAAACTATCAGAGTAGGCTGCGTTCTGGTTTGAAATCTTCTCGTGTCTGTTTCGTATACAAAAAGGTGGATGGAGAATAAAGAGCCCTAGTAACAGACGATTAGAAACTATCAAATTCAGAATATTATATTATTGTCTACTTCTTTGATCTTGCTATCCATCACACTACAGTTTTTACATATCTATTTACTAATATAGACTTTGCATGGTACAGGTCCCAAGGGGAAGGATAAGCAGGAGGGTCGAACTAAGATAATTGTAATTTGGTTTTCAAGTCGAACTTGCTACTCAAACTACCTGGGTAATTTGAATTATCGTTTGTAATCAAGAGAGACATATCTTTCTGCCATAGGAAAGTCTCAGAGAAGCTACGTTATGGCAGTGACCAATAACATTGCAGCTTCTTCATTGGATTTTATCAAGAATTTCAAAATATATAGCAGAAGCACCAGACCAGATGTGGCAGCAATATTCAAAGCAAGGATGAATGGTAGACTTATAAATATGTAAAATAGATTCTTTGGATTTTATCAAGAATTTCTAAATATATAGCAGAAGCACCAGACCAGATGTGGCAGCAATATTC